AAATAATAAATAATAATAAACTAGAATCGATAATATCGGTCTGCCTTGAAATTTTCGTTTGATAAAATATAATATATAATATGTGAAGTATGGTCCTCCATTAGGGAATTTCATGATTATTCGGATATGGTATATGGCTAGTTGTTCATTATTGATTATTCGATTACTTGCTATCTTGTCGATTTCGAATTTTCCGAGTATTTGAAGTATTACGATTATTCGATAATGGTCAGAAAGCAACTACTCGAATAATTCGATTGTGAAATCTACATACGATTAATAATCGTTATTTTTTCTTCAAACAAACAACAATGTTTATGATTCCAGAAATATCCGCTAGATGGTGCTGATGCCAAGTTATTAGTAAAATCCATATTTACGTTCCGTTAAAATAAAAATTTACATCGTTTTCAGATGTACTACTATATATGAACTAATTTCCAATCTACAAAACTACGTCAGATACCAAATACGAATTTGTCGCCGCTCAAAACTTAACTAAGCTCTACCTTCCTTCCTCTTTTATCTCATTTCACTAAGTTGTAAAAAAAGGCTTAAAAAATTCTTTTAATACATTTTCCGTACAATTCATTCATCGAAGTACCAGCAGTAAAATAACAACGCCAACTGTCATCTCTCTTTGTTGAATAACTGAATAACAGTTGGAAAAATGTAGGACATCAGTGCCAGAATGGTACGCTGCATCGTTTCGGCTCAGCTTGCCATGTTCTCTCTGGGCAAATGAAATGATACAGGAAGCATTCTCCGCACAGCAGGAAATTCCTTTAGCGGTTTTTTTTATTCTGTGTACTCATATCCACTTTGTGGCAAAATTGCCATCACGCTGCGGCACTGCTTATTTCATTATTAAAATAATCGCAGTGACGAGGAGTCATAGTCATTGGTATAACTATGCATGTATGTACATACGAGTATGTGGGCTTTGCTTGACTAGTTGCAGCGCTGCTGTGCTCAAATTCTGTCAGCGGTTTTGTTATGCCAGCAAAACGTACAAATTGTGTAAGCACATGTGCACTCTTTACGTTCAGAATGGGAAATGTTTTAAATTTTTAAATCATTAATTCGACTCGTTATTTTAAAGAATTTTTCTAGCAATTAAGCGCGTTGAATTACTAGGATTTTTTTGTTGGCTATTAGAGAACAATTTATTTAATAATTGACTTTTCTGACTCTTTTTATTTTAAGCGAACTCTTGCCAGGTCAATGCATTTGCGGTAAAAAAATAATGAATAAATAAAAATCGTTTTATCTTAATTTTATTTTTCATTTTAATTGTTTTTTTTTTTTAATAATATTAGAATTTTTTACTTACTATTACTTTTTTACTATATTTTAATTTAACTTATTTAATTAAAATTATAACTATATTTTATATTTATTGTAGATATTTTTTTATTTATATTATTAATAATATATAAATATAATATAATAATTTTATTTATATTATTAATACATTATATTAAGCACTATTTATTTCATTTAATTCAGTTTAGTTTAATTTGATTTTATTTTATATATATGAATATATAAAACTTGATATAATTTAATATATATTTTGATATTTTTATTTAGTTGAATTTAATTTTATTTAATCAAGTTTATGTTACGTTATTTTATTTTTTATTTCATTTTATTTTATTTTGTGTTACATTATATTATATTCAATTATTTATTTAACTTGAATTTAATATATATTTTTAGTTTTTAATTTAGTAAACTTTAATTTATGTTATTTCATTTTGCTTTTTTTATTTTATTTTATTTTATTTTATTTTATTTAATATTAATTTTATTTCTCCTATATTTTATTTAATTTTTACCTTATTTGATTTTATTTTATTTCCTTTTATTATGGCCTGGCTTCTCTTCACTCATCGGCTATATTTTGATCCTATTTTGGTTATGAGACTATAATTTTAATTTTTTAAACGATTTTTAATTTTTTTTAACCTTAAGCACTATAACTTTACACAATTTATTGTCTATTCAATCTTCAAAGTCGAAATTTTATAGCAGACAATGTTCTGCTTCAGTAATTTAACGTTAATTTAATACGCACAAAAAATAAAAATAAATATTTTAATATGCCATGAGGGGGCTGGTTGGCTGCTCATTTACAAAAAAAAAAATAAATAAAAATTAAACTAAAAAACGCTGCTCCTATTGCTTCAACTCTGCGCTGTGCCTGGATTAATATCAATTTTGTTCTTATTTGTTTTTATTTTTTAAATTTTTTTAATATATTTTTTTGAATGCTTTTTATTTTTATATTTTTCGCCGGCAAGGCAATTGAATGGAATGGAAAAAATCATCCAAACGTGCTAATACGACTATGTAATTTTCCCCATAAAAACCAGTCGGCTTTCGTAAGCGACTTGCTGCTGCAACTTGCGAAATCTAATAGGGAGCGTTGCATCCACTACACATAGTCGTTTATATGGTATATCTATGTGTAAATTTGTAAACATAGGCATACGTACATACTTATTATGTAGTGCATAGGAATGTTCCGTGTATCAACAAAAATAGGCCACGCAGTTGTCAGCACGTACCCATGCTATTTTTCTTTTCTCCTACATTTATAGCAATGCAAAGCGTTCGATGACGATTCCACGCGTGCTTTTTTCTACTTTGAGTGTATACAAGATGAGCATTGGCCAGGCCACTTTGGGGAAGGATGAAGTTAGGTGAGGTAGAAGGTAAAAGCGCTCGAGTATATCATATCAGCCTAGATGCACACAGACAGACAGTACAAGACAGAGTAAATTAATATCCCAGCAGAAGAAATTACAAATTCAGGTTGAGCACTGTTCGGAAAAGAAGTCAATATCTTTTTGTTGGTAATTTTATTTAATTTTATTATTTTTTAATTTATTTTACTTTACATATTTTTATAGTTTACATATTATTTTATTTTAAATACTATATTATTCTATATATTAATTTGTAGCCGAACGGTTCATATGCTGGTGCGACCATCCAATGGTTATGGAAAATTAATTTAAATAAAAAATTAAGTTAAATTTTCATATTGCGGCCGCCCCTCGGCAGGGAATGTCAACCCCTCCTAGTGTATTTCTGACTTGAAATAAAGGCTCCTCGTAAAAAGCAATCAGCCCGTCGAAAGCGGCTTTATATAAACTGTAGGTCCCGCCATTTGTTGGAAACACATCAGGACCCAAATTCACAAATTTAAGGAAGAGCTCGCCCGAGAATCGCTTCACCGGTTTTATTACAACTTATTTTAGTTCATTCTTTAGTTATAATTAATTTTATTTTTTTACGTCATTTTACTCATGTCGTTTATTTTAATTACATTTATATTTTTTATTTTATTTTATTTTAATTCATTTTAATTTTAATTTGTTTCTTACGGTATTTTATTTTGTTTTACTTTACTTTATTTGTACTTTATTTTATAGTAATACATTTTTTGTAGTTTTTTAATTTTATTTAATTATATCTTTTATTTTTATTTATTTTATTTTGTTATTTAATTAAATTAAATATTTATATGAATTTTTACATTTTATATTTAATTTCACTATAGTTTATTTTTATTTTATTTTATAATAATATAATGTTTATTTAATTTTGTTATCTTAAAAAATTAAATAAAAATAAAAAAAAAATTAAAGATTTTAAAATAAAACTAAATTTTGTTTAATTTTTTTTTATTTTAATTTCATTTTATATTACATTATTTATTTTTTATTTGCTATAGCTTTCTGCTTGATTTTGTATTGAATTTGTTTTTGTTAAAGTTTTTTTGTCTTATTTTTAATTAATTTTATATATTTTTTTTAAATTTATTTTGTTTTATTTCGTTTTAATTATTAATTTATTTTAGTTTATATTATTTTAATTTTTTTTGATGAAAACATTAATTTCTTATTTGAAATTACCTCTCTGTTCTATTTTAATTTATTTTTTTTTATTTCGTTTTATTTTAATTTATTTATTATTAATATTTTTTTTTATGGCTGAAACAACTAATTTTAAGTCTGCTTAATTGATTAATCATGACCCTGATCAATTTAGTGATCAGAACCCTCATACATTTGAACAAAACCACTATGTGGTAGTTTGAAATATTTAATTAAAAAATAATAATTTTAAATATTTACTAAAGAAATTAGTAATTTAAATATTATAATTGTTATTAACCTTCATTATTATTGCCCGAGCAAATAAAGAAAAAATAATTAATTTTTTGAAAAATATGAAGAAAAGTACTAAGTAGTTAGGAGTGGACTTAATTACACTAGAAACATACTAGTTGAGAATTGTTGAATTCATCATGGGTAGAGGTAGCGATGGTAGCAGAGATATTGAATGGAGTAAATGGAAGACAGAATTAAAGGGAAGATAATAAAAACAAACAACTTTATTGTAATAACAAAACCAGATAAAGGAAAGTAAATAAACAGAAAAATTAACTAAAATGACAACAAAAGGCGTATTAAAAATGAACTAACATAAAAAAGTAAAACAAAGCTCGAGTAAAAAAAAGAAAGCAACAAGTAAGAAAAATAAATACTAATAAGCTTGTCTGGCTATCTACCAGCTTGCCGGCATTTGGCGGCCAGCCGTTGATTAATTTCGAACAGAAAACAGAAAAAAAGTGAAATTCATATGCACACATATATATCCGAGTATCTGCATATTGTATGAGCATATGAATGTACGGGCACGCGTACATCACACTGCAAGCACACTACTCCACGCGATAATACAAACTCCACAGAATCATTAATTCCCATAATATCACCACCAAAGCATGCAAATCCATTTCAGTGTGCTTAATTCGGTTCTTCACGCTTTTCAATTGAATTAACAGCACATCTAGCGCCGCATCCGTCGTTCTTCTCCAATATTTGCCTTCCACTTGAGTAGCGGAGTTTTAACCATGTTACGAGTACTTCATAACAACAACTAATTTGTTTTTATTTTTCTTTTTTTTTTTCTTCCATCCACAGATTTATCGCGCAATCGCTTTTGTGAGCTACCCGAGGAGATCACGACATTCTCATTTCTGGAAACATTACTACTCTATCATAACACCATACGCAGTATACCCGAGTCGGTGAAGCATTTGACATCGTTGACGTATTTGGATTTACGTAGTAATCAGTTGGCTGCGTTGCCGCGTGAGATCTGTTTTCTGCCGCTGCAAGTACTGCTCGTGTCCAATAATCGTTTGGCATCGTTGCCCGATGAGTTGGGTCGTATGGACCGGCTGACCGATTTGGATGCATCCTACAATCAATTGTCAACGCTGCCGGCGCGCATTGGTGAGCTACGTTCGTTGCGTTCGTTTTCGCTGCGTAGCAATCAGTTGATGTATTTACCGCGTGGTGAGTAATTACCTGCTTGCGTCATAATACATTTATGGGGGGTTGCTTGTTTATATAAACATTTTATTTATAATAAATTCGTTTCCCAGAGCAGACTTCAGACGATTTCGATTATATTTTTATAAGCGTTCTGCAGTTCTCTCGACCTTACACCTCCACCATGTTCTCTTATGTCAATGACTGCTCGATCTTAGCTTTCACTTCTTCACTACGACCGCATCAACTTGTAAACATACTTAAATCGCTTTAATGAGGTATAAGGTCATCCCCTGCACACCTATCTTACGTATATTAGACCTGTTAAAACACCTAACTATGGTTCTTATGTCGCTTGCGCTACGTTTATACATTGAAACATGCTATGTTTCCAACTACCGTGTATATTTAGACTCCAAATTCACTGAATCAATGAACAAAGAAGACCCAAAACGTTGACGTGACCTCATCGGCAGCATCTATCGCTCCCTGGTAAGACCCAAGTAATCTTAGCACACCTCACACTTCTACGACCCTAACCAGCTCTTTCCATGCTTCCTTAAGCAAATTCGCTTAACATCCCTCTCACTCAGCTACGCCCTACGCCCAGTCAATTGGTATACTGGAAAGCTTTGTAAGCAGTATCTAGTGGAATGACGCAGAAGTATTATATGTGGAGCGATTTCGATGCTTGCTCGAAACAAAACCGCCAGCCATGCTTATGCATATCAGGGAGGCTAAAATACAATAGTCCTTATAGTCTTTACATCCGAACACCTGGTTGAAACCATCATATCACACAACTTACAGCGGGACTTAATATTCAGTTACATAGGGAATTAACTTGCTTATCCACTTTCTCTTCATCAATACGAAAGAAATCAAAGCATCACCACACGAAATGCCCTTGTAGCCCAGCTAATTTCAGGACCTTGTAGTAGATTAAACGCTTACGTACTTATCCAAACTGGACCCCAGCATACCTACAGTATGTCCTAAAATTAATAACACTTTTACTTCTTCAACTAGTTTTGAAGGTGTGTCTCACTCTCTGGTCTGCTTAAACCGATTTTCTAACCGCTTAAACCACAAAACCCACGAGCTGGGGAAATTGGATCCAAGCTCTGTTGAGACTAGCATCTTAATGCGTTCGATCGTTGGCTGAGAATGCAGTTATCTAGTGTATTTAGCGGCATTTGATCGGTACTTTTCGCTTCGAAAGACCTTTCATATAGCAAAATCTAGTATTAAAATATTAACCGATAAGGACTCGAATTGCCAAGAGCAAACCACTTAATTCCAATAATATGTAAATAGGGAGGCCATTCCTAGAATAAATGACATAACCAATAGGGTATAACTTTTTCATGTCTTTGATTGTACAAACATTTTTAATTATTAATTGGAGCATGTATTCATTGAAGCTGCCTCCAATCTGAGGACTTGGTCATTCCCTGCCAAGGGGGAAAAAATAATTTTCTATAATTTTGGATGTTGGACAGGCAGGACTCGAACTCTGGCCTTCTAAATGGCGGAAGAACTCGGCTATTGCAGCACACGAGGTGTGTTCAAAAAGTATCGCGAATTTTGAATTTTCGCCGGTTACGTATAATCGAATTTCGATTTTTTTGTGGCGTTATGTTGGTAATCATGTCTGTCACTTATGCCGAAAAGCTCGGCGATTTTGAATGTTCACTTAATTATTGACATCTGCTTTGCTTGCACGTGTTTTGGATGGTCTTCGATTTTTACCTATTTAAAAATTTTGTGTGAAAAACGAAATTAAGTGCAAGGATGCATTCCGAATGTTGACTGTGGCATACGGAGAAGCTACCTTGGACCGAAGCAACGTTTATCGGTGGTACAAAATGTTCTCAGAAGGCCGAGAAGATTTGAACGGCGAAGATCGTGCCGGACGCCCGAGCACTTCAACAACTGACGAAAAAATTAATTGTAGGGGCGCGGTGCATCATGAGTTCTTGCCATAGGGTAGAACGGTCAATAATGAATATTACCTGCAAGTTATGCGCAATTTGCGCGAAGCAAACACCAGAAACGCCCGGATTTGTGGGAGAACAAAAATTGGCTTTTGCACCACGATAACGACCCTGCTCACACATCGTTGCTTGTGCGCGACTTTGTGGCCAAAAACAACACACTAATTATGCCGCAGCCACCGTATTCCCCAAGTCGGGCCCACTGTGACTTTTTCTTGTTCCCTAAACTGAAGAGGCCCATGAAAGGACGTCGTTACGCTACGATTGACGAGATAGACGAAGGAGGAGCTGAACAAGATAAAAAAATGAAATTCTGAAGTGCTTCGAAGATTGGAAAAACCGTTGGCACAAGTGTATAATCTCATGGGCATTACTTTGAAGGGGACAAAATAGATATTCATGAATAAATAAATAGTTTTTTAAAAATCACAAAATTAGCAATATTTTTTGAGCACACCTCGTATATATATTTAGCATAGCTAATTTTCTCTACGATTTCATCGAATTATTATTTATTTATAAATCGCATCATTAAAACTGTTCTAACTAACTAACTTTACTTGATATTAAACCAAGAAATAATAATTATTATTATTTGTTTTTTTTTTCAGAATTAACTTGTCTAACGCTGGAATCGTTGGATGTTAGTAATAATCGCATCGCTAGTCTACCTCTGGAGATACGCCAAATGACCGCGTTGGTCGAATTGAATTTAGAAAATAATCCGCTTACATCTCCACCTGCTAGTGTAAGTACACACATACACACACACATACACATACATGCATACATATGCATCTGCGCATATTCATATGAAAAGATTGAACTGTAAATAAACTAACCACACTTTCTATGAATCGTGCTTAATTTCAACTAAAATTAATACCGACTTAAAATTTCTTCATACTTCTTGTTTCTTTTTGTTTTACAGCTGTGTATACGCGGTCTCGTACATGTCTTTAAATTTCTGGAAACTCAAGCTGCCAAAGATGAGAAGGGTTCACGTGCCGGTGGCAATTACGATGGTTACACCACATTGCGACGTGCGCCACGCTATGCTGGCAATGGCAGTGTACTCGAATCGAATCGTGTGCCGCGACACATCGGTAACAGTGGCGGCAGTGGCGGCGGCGGCGGCGCCGAGTCGGGCTATAGCACCTGTGATGGCATTGATAAGCGTTGGTCACACGATATGCCAAATGGTATTTAATGCACACAAAAACACACACATTGAAATAAATACACATTCGACTAAATACAGAAATATGTACATATGTACGTGTATGTACATACGTGTATATGTAGTATACAACACAAATTCAACTTGTTGCAAATTCAATCAACAACTAATCACTGCTCACTTACTCACACTCACAATCACACTCACACTCACTTCCTGTCTAAATATATCTTCTATAAACTTCCAGTTAAAACCAAATCGGATTCACCAGCACGTAAAACCCCCACAACACCGCCGCCCTCGTTGAGTTCCGAATTGATGGATGCGTCAATAACTTCCAGTTCAAGCACAATTGTGGATGAGTCAATATCATTAACTGGCACGAGCGCAGGTGGTGGTGTAGCGTCAAATGCGATTGCAGCGGCAATTGTTAAACCGTTAAATGCAACGGAATCGCCGACGAAACGCAGTGGCGAGATGCATGTACAATCAGCGCCTGTTACACCACAACATCAGGCGGCTCAACAGCAACAGCTGCAACAACAACACCAGCATATCAACTATGCACATTCGAATTCGAGTAATGGCAGTAATAACGGGAGTAATGGCTCATCGCCGGACCAAGAGGATGCCATGATGGAGCATTATCATCACATCACAGGCGGACAAAATGGAAAAAACGATGATAAAGCTAATAAAAATTTGGGGAATGTACAAACCTATCGGTTAGTAGAGCTAAATGAAATAATTTCATTCTTAGGCTTAGTTTGAAAAAAGAAAAAAATTTTTTTACTGTAATTTTGGTAAATGCCTAAGCCATAGAGAACTCCTCAGTACTACCAGGTTAAAGAGGTGAGCCATGAGTTGTCTAAACTTGGCCTAAACCAGTCCCACCATTGCTATGTATAGCGCATTACTGTTCGATCTTAACGTTCAGATGTACGGAGAACACTTGTTTGAAGGTGAGCAGCTACTGCTTCGACCTCCCTCACTTATTCCCCCACGAAATTCATGATCAATCGGAAACTAACGAGACATAGATGAACAAGTTACGTACATAATCTTGTTTAGGTCAATAGCTTCACCGCCACGATGCCTTAGGAAAGGAGTACTTGACATAAAGCCACTCAGTACCGGATAGCGGAATCGCAGGACTGGAATATATTCCAACGCGACCTAAATTCCATTCATAGAGGGTCCGTCAACTCCTTAAAAACTTTCTCAACACCCCTAACAAACCAAGAGCTCGAGTTGCCTTGGAAAACTTGAGGAACACTGGCACAATTAAAGCTTGAATACTGTATTCGACTCTACTCTTATCTATCTAGATTTTATGATGACAGACTTAACGTATGACTTGCAGGCAATGAGTTTTAACACGCCGCTAAATACTGATTTGCATTCTCACTAAAATCTAACACTCTCTGCTCCGAATCCGACGAAGCAGTTCGTTTCCTGGATCGAGTTAGGGTTGAGGAAGTCGGCACAAAATGAACAACAACCCTACAGACTAAATATAAAAATACTTAACAGGATCGCTGGACACGATGGGACAGACAAACCTCAAAAAAAAATGAATACCTTCCTTAACTCCTCTCTTCCCGTGTCCCGTGTCTACACCTCAACCTATTGCTAAGTTCTTTTGTTGCGAATTCGATGAAACAGCCAAATATGAGTTTTACAAAATATTTTGGGTATATTTTTTTTACAAAATCGGGCTACCATGAGCCATGGCCCCTATACAGATCTTCTAAGCTTCTTTTTTTTATTTAATATTTGTTCACTTAAAATAAACAACAAATTTCTTGTCTTACCTAAAAACGATAGTTTTCATATTTTTTTTTGTCTATTTCCAGCGAATACAAGGAGGCGCTGAAGCAACAACGAAATTTGGAAGTTTCGAGTGTTTACAAAATTAAAAACAACCAAAAAATGTTGTACGACATGAGTGAAGCATCGAATGCATTGAATTCCATTGCGGTAAACATGTCACATCATGACGATATTAGCGGCAGTGATAATGTCAGCGATAATGGCTGTAACGACGTCATACGAATCGTAAATGGCGCCAACACTGTGCCACAACCAAAATCAATAATGAAGAATGGGAGTAATGGAGGCGGTGGTGTAGTTGCTGGTGTTATTGGCACCAATGGTGGCCTAAATATGTTCAATGGCATGATGAATGGTGTTAATGGTGGTGGTGGTGGTGGTGTTGTCACTGATGTTGCCAGCGATTATTGTGTTGTAATGCCAAAGAAACCGGTACAAAAAGTCACACCGTCACGAAATATCGAATTAATGTCGTCGCTGGCGACGTCAAAACAAATGCAACCGGCTCAAACGGCTGCTGATGAGATTGAAAAAATGTTGCTATTACAACAACAGCAGCAGTCGCAGCAAGTGGTTAATGGTGATTGTATGGGCTATGTGAAACCAAATAGTCCAATGAAAACGATAAATGGCAGTGTTGGTGTTGGCGGCGTTGGCAGCGTCGGCATATTAGCGAATAATAATAAAATTCCTACAATTGGTGGTCTCAAATCGCCTGTTAGCGGCACAACGAAATTGGGCACAGCGAAAACGCATCGGTGAGCTACTAATATGATATTTGTTAGACGTTATTAAATGCTTTATCTATTTTAATTGACTTCAAATAGCACTGTCACCTGGAATCATGACATACCTGCGGAGAAACTTAGCTTTACTATGCGTCGCGAATTCGATCGGCAGCGGGAGGAGACCGAACTAATGACTCAGTTGAGGAGTGTAAGTTTTTACGCGGGGCAATAAAAAAAATTATATGCATATATAAAGTGGAATTGTAATAGAATAGCGGTTATATAGAATTTTGCAGTAATTAGTCAAAAATCTTGAATTCCTATTCAAGGAAATTTTCATTATTTCAAGAGTACATCGTACAAAGTTTTGAATTGAATCCATAAGCCTTTTTGTTAACCTCTTCAGATTTTAATTTTATTTGATTTACTTTCAGATCATTGAAACACGTCTCAAAATGACTTTACCCGAGGATATAGCATCTGCTTTAACCGATGGTGTTATTCTATGTCATTTAGCCAATTACGTACGACCACGCTCTGTTGCCAGTATACATGTGCCGTCACCTGGTGTGGTAAGTAAAATATAATTTCATTCATTTAAATTTTTTAGTAATATTCTTCTTTTTTGCAGTCGAAACTAACAATGGCACGCTGCCGTCGAAATGTTGATAATTTTTTGGAAGCTTGTCGCAGAATTGGTGTTGATGAGGTGAGTGATAAGCAGAATTTACATCGCCCTACTAACTTCATATGACCTAAGGTGTGTGGAAAGCAAGAAATAGCTTTGGAATATTGCATAAAGTATCGAATTAGTATTATTCGAAGAAATCGGAATAGTAAATGACAATTGTCCAAAAATATTTGTAAAAGTCTCATTAACCTGAAGCAGAACTCTACAGAATCATACATTGGTAAATTTTTCACAGCGTTTTAAGCGTCAAAAAAGTGAATCGCTAAAAAATAACTTAAAGGGTTCCTTTAAAGAAGATAACCTTAAGTAGGCCTAGAATTTTAATTTAAGATACCGCAAGACTTACTTTTGAGTTGAGAATCGCCTTTGGGTAGAAAATGTTTATTCACTCGAAAGTATTTGAGACATGATCTAAAACCAACTCAAAAATTTCAGCAGCTGTTCGGTGGAGGCTTAGTAAAACTGTACGTTTATCATAAATTCTTCAACTCCTTTTATTCTATTCTATAATACATATTAGGGCTAACCTCAAAAAAAAAATTTTTCATAAGCAACTTTGTCTGATATTTGCTTTCGTAGTGGGTCTACATTTAACTGATATTAACATGTAACTTGAAGCTTATATAATTTTGTAAGTAATATATCATAAAAAGGCAGTAAATAACAGTAAAAAAAGAAAATATTGAGCTTAATGTGAATCAGTTATTTTCGGCCTTTGCGAGTTTTGGTAAACACCATCCCAGGCCACTTAATAATCAAGATAACATTTCCATAATTATTTCAGCTTTTGTTGATGATATTGAAGCAGTTAAAGCATTTTTAAAAATAATAATTTATAATCTGTTAATATTTACTTTTTAGCATTTTTACTACTAAACTTATTATTCCAAAGCTATTCATGCTTCACCACTCATTACACTAATGTAGCCATTAAATATTAAATATCTATATATGTATGTATATATACAAAGTATCTGCACCATGAATAGGTATCCCTCACATCCCTATTACCCCAAAATTAAAAAAAAATAAACCCATTAAATTTTTAATTTGTCTAAACGGTCTAAATGCAAACAAAAAATCTGTTATTGGTGTTGGTTGCAGGAGTTGATTTGCTCCTGTGCAGACATTGTGCCCCCCTCCGGCGACGACGGATCCCACAACAACGACAGCAACAGCAATAACAACAAAAATTCTATAAATAACAATGAACCCCAGCAAAACCAAAAGAAAACTATGCCAATAAATGAAACCAATGAAAATTCAGAAAAACTTCCGAATCCCTCAGCTGTTTTGAAAACAGTATCAGCACTAATTGCCTTGGATTATAATCCACATCATCAAAATATACGAAATTTGCAACAACAATATGAGTTAAAGATGAAATTGCAAAAGCAACAGGAGAAATTAAGGCAACAGCAAGTGGAGAGAGAAGAAGAAAACAGCACAAGCGAACAACAAAAGCAGCAGCAGCAGAAACAAACACATTTTCGCGACTACCAGAGACGTGGCGGCGTCTTTGAACACGGCTACGAGCACCAACTCACTGCAACCTGCACCAAAGAACAGATGCTGCAGCCAAGATTGCATACGCTTGGCCTAGACAATTCCACATTTAATTTGAGTGCAAAGTGTCATTTCGATGTGACTGTGCTAACAAACGGACACGGTGTTGGTGTTAGTGGTGGTGATAATAATGTTGATGGTGATGATGATGAAAATGGTGTTGATGGTGGCGGCAGCGCCGGCGTCGGTGTTGATGATGAAGCGATGGATGCGAATGATTTCGATGATAGTGATGACGTTGATGAAGGGGTTGGCGCTGATGTGGAGGAACGAGACGAGTTGGAAGCTGGGGTAAATGGAGGCACTGGTGGTGGATACAACAAAACAAAGCAGCAGCATCAGCAGCAGAAGAAGCAAAAATCGCAACAAAACAGTAACAATCACAATGTTACGGATTTTTTTCGTCACGCCAAATTGAAAACATTTCAAAAAATTAAATTCAATTTACTATCCTCCGCCGGTGCCACGTCATGCATTAACTATGGACATGTTAACAATAATCAGTGTATGTTACAAACAATTGTGGAAACCGAAAGTGAAGTAATCGGAGGGGGACCGGGTAGCAGCGTGATGAACACCACCACCAGCAGTGAGGGTGGCGCTTATCAATTGATCAACGAGAAGCCAACATTCAATGAGGAGTTAAAATTGAAGGTGGAAAGTCGTGCCGTGGATGCAGCGGGCAACAAATACAAATTATACGATATAGCTACGTTGAAAAAGAGCCAGGAAGCAAGGCGTGTTGAAGTGGAAGAACCTCTACCGTTAGTCTCCAAGCGTATAGAATTCTTCGAACACTCTTCTACCGCCAAAGCGGCGCCAACAATGTTGAATAACAATATTAATGCCGGTCAAAGTAGCAGCGTAACAGCGTGTAATACAAAAGCAAAGTGCTCTCCCATTGCACCTACAACAAGTATGCCAACTACGCCGCTAACAAAGTCAAGTAACAACAACATTTTTAGCATATATCGTGTGGTCGAGCTGAGTGATAATAAATTGGTAAGCAGTAGCGGCGCCAAGCTGGTGAATGACAGTGCTTTAGCTGCTGCTGTTGTTCCCAAAGCGAAGGAGACCGGCACTTCTTATCTACTGAAACATGATTCGCATGTGCTTACCATCATATTATCATGCGTCTTTATTGTAACATTTTTATTATTGGTCTTCTTTCCATTACCCGGATAGGAGGCGCGCCATAGGGAAACACTTTATGCCACATTGCTTTATAGAGCTTAAGTGTAGTGTTTTTTGTATTTTTTTTTTACAAATACATAACTGCATATATATAAGTTTATCGAAATGTATGTAAAGTTTTTGGTGGGAATTTTTTTTAATTCCAAAGCCTTAATTTTTATTTCGTTGACGACTTTTTTAAGTTGCTATAATTTAAAAGTTAAAAAAGCTAAACGTACTAAGGTGCAGTTTCTAAAAGTATTTTAAATTTTTATATTTAAGCAGCCGTCTCTTGCTTGAGAATTTGGAAAAAAAACTATTTTTTATTTTTTGAACTTTATAGCTACTTGTACTTAACAATATAATATATATTTATTTTACTTGATTATTTTTAAAAATGAATTGTATTAATAAGAGTTGAATACGTTTAATTTTTTAAGAACTTTTTATGAATTATTTATATAATATTTAAAAATTAGTTGTGTAAAGAAAATAAAAAAGAACACAAATGATGTATAAAGATTAACCGTAAAAAAAAATGAACAAGGTGAGAGCATATACAAATTATTTTCATTCTGTAAACTATTGTAAAGGAAAAGTTGTTCTGCAATTTTTATAAATATTCTACACAACTTTATATTATAATATTGCTAATGTGGACGTTGCAGATTGACTTAGACTTATTTTTGCTTTAAATTTGCTTTATAACTAGATTTTTAGTCGAAAAAAAACTTTTTTTATTACAAAAGCTTATTTATCATGACTTCGCTCAAAAGATCGCTTCAGCGTCAATAAAGCGCCAATTACACATATTTATTATATATTTATTATAATATTTATTTGTTTAGTTTAACAATGCTGCTGAATATGAAATAATTTTGTACATTTGTTTTTATTTCTATTTATTTAGACTAAACTTAAAATTATTATATACAAATAAACTGCTTATGTTTTTAAGAAGCTTTTAGAGAAGACGCAGGCAAATTATTATACCTTGTTTCCTTTTAAAACCTAACCTTAAAATTAAATGCATTTGAAGTTAAACTACAAAAAGTCGCTTCACATATTAGATTTTGAATTTGACTTGATTGATCTCCCTCACCCTGCAGCTAAATTAAATGCAGATTTTTATTGTTTTATATTCTACGTAAACATCCTAAATGTACGCAATGAATTTGTATGCTGAGGTTGAAAGCTTTTTATCTTATTGCAATTTCAAGGAAAATCATTTTAAATGGTTTGCATTTTCTTCGCTAATATAAAATGTAGAGAATGCAAAGCATAGAATTTGTCTTCTCCAAAGAGCATAACAAAATAACTTGAATATTTAAAAAATTTGTTCGTTGGTTATAAATAGCATGAGAGAAATTTTTCCCGAGATTCCAATGCTTCACACTAGAGTAAAAAATAGTATTGAATTTTCTTTGAAATTGGTTTACTCTAATAGTGAGATTGATAGTATGATAATTTAAGTTTGCATTTCGAAAAAAGAAACAAAACAAAAATACAAAACCCGAAAACAATAAATATGTATATAAATACATATATATATATATACATATATATATAAAGTTTATATAACAAAGGATAATTTTATGTTTCAAAAATATAGTTTTTAATTAAGATATTGTTCAAAATATATTATTTGTACATTGTAGCTATAAATTTATTTATTATTATTACACCTTTCATTATGCTTTTTCATAAATAATTATCTAAGCAGAGGCTGCATTATTTTCTAAGTACTTAAAAGTGCATTTTATAAGGCAAAAAAAAAAATCCTTAGTTATTTACCAGTATATAAAAATATATAAAAAATTATTAATTAAAGTCATTAAAGTCAAATATATGTATATTTTCCATAAATTTATTGCTATTTATAATGAAAATGCGTTTGCATTCAACTTAAAGACTTGAAAATTTAATATCTACTTCAAAAGTATTTAAAATGCATTAAAAAAAAATAAGACAAAAAAAATAAATGAATTATCGCCTTTAATTGGAATGCTAAGAAATTTGCAGTATTGGAATAAAATATTACATATATTTAGGTGCTGATTTGAAATATGACAGCTATACTAATTAATAAATAATTAATCTGTTAATAACACTGATTATTTAAAATTTTGGTATATAAAACTTGATCTATAATTTATACATATTATTCAAAATCGATACTGATTTTTTTTAAGAAAAGTAGTTTCCATAATATAATAGAACTGAATATTTTCAACTTTGGAATAAAAACATTTATTTACACTTTAAATTATATTTTTATGTTGGCAAAGTTTTTTTTTGTTAAATAAAACCACCATTCCTTAATGGTACTGGGAAAAAATTGTTGTCAATTTTTTTTTAAAAATGCAATAAACCAGTACATTACTAATTTTTGTAGGTTTTTAAAACGATTTGAGAAAATATACTCCTTTTTTTATCGAGTTAGTAACCTAAAATGAAATATTTGTTTAACAAAAATATGTAAAATTTCAGAAATGCAGCATCATTTCAATACAAAATAACAAATTTTGAGTTTTTCCTTGTACTGATATTTTCATTCATTTTTTTCACTCGTTATTAATGAAAATTCGAAATATTTGCTTCACTGCATTTTTCATTTAACGCTAGTTAATTTTTTTATTATCATTTGTTTTCAAAATTAATTTTCATTTGAAAAATAAATAATTTATATTCGAGTGTTTGTATTACCAAGCGAGTATAAAATCAAAAAACCGAATCATATTGCACAATATGGATGCAAGTTCTCAATAAGAACTCTAAAAATATTAATATATAACCTTTTCTACAAATTTCCTTATAGTTTTCATTAAATATATATATTTTTTATTTAATTTAGTTTAATTAAGTTTTAATTTTTTTTATATTATTATATTTTATTTTTTTAAATATTTTTAAATTTTTCTTTGATTTTTTTATTATTTGTTTTTAAATTTTTAATTTTATTTAAAATTTTATTATTATTCTTTAATGTTAAAATATTATTACAACTGTACTGAATTCCATTTGCCAATCTAAACGCTCAATTTGCCATCACTCAATACATATATTGTTTTTTTTTTTATAAAAAAGACGTAAGACTACTAGGCAAGACTAAACTTACCCACCTTATTGCATTCAATTTAAATTAAAGACTTGAAGACAAAATATGTTTTTCTTATTTTTTTGTTTCATTAAGAGCAAAACGTCATCCTACACACAAAACACACACTGACTGAAAAAAATCTTAATGATATAATTCAATTTTAGTAAAAACAAATCATGTTTCGAAAACAAATAAATTATCTAGTATTTAAGCGTATGTGAAAAGCATTTAATTAAATATTAACAACGAATAATTATTTTTTTTAGCATTACCCATTACCCCATTGTAACACACGTAAACAAAATATTCGTAAATTATAAAATTAAATGCTTCTGTTTGAACGCTTAGGCGTTGCAAAAACATACATAAATGCTTGTAATTGTAGTTGTAGCTAGCAACCGCTTTAATAAACTATTATTAACTTAATTTGAAACCAATAATTTACAAATAATTAAAGGGAAATATATTGTTATATGAGGCGAAGAGAGGGAAATGCACGTTAGTCGAATTTTTTGTATGAGACTTTTTAGTAAGTGAAGGGTAATTGAATTAATTTGAACTGGTAAAGGGAATTAAAAACGAAGTAAAGAAAGTAAAGCAAATAAATTAAGTATTTTTGCTAATTGCATATTAATTAAACGCGTTTATAGCTTTGTAGTAAAGAATTTTCCAAATCGTTTAGCGTTTGGTAGTATTTGTTGGTATAACTATTATATATTGGAGAAGAATTACTTGATTGAAATACAAGCAGGGACTAAAAGGTGGCCAAGTTATTAGTGAACGTGAACCTATTAATAATGGAAGGGAAGACAAACAACGCAAAATATAAAGAATGCAAACAAAATGAATTTATAAATGGAATAACCTAAAGCACTTACGAATAGAAGAAGTATGAAATTAATCAAAATGTAGTAACATGACAAAAAATATGTAATAATTATATAAAAAATACTTTAAAGGAACCAAAGCACAAAATCTAAATCTTGCCTCGCGCAAATCACAACGATTGATTGGAAATATTTATTTAAAAAAACTAATATTTGTATGTAGGATTAAAGATTTTAAAAACTTTTAAAATAAACCTTTTATACAATGAGATAAATTTTGTTAATTTTGAAAGCCAAGGCTGCCAAATATTATCAGTTTGAACCTTCAAAATGTAAAATTCAAAATTCTTTCCCTTTCTTTGTTGCCTATGAATGGCAAAACCTTTGGAAAATTAACCAAATATTCCAAACTGGATTTTGAATTCTTAAATCTTCTATTGCCAAATTGTTTTCTTATATACTTTTTTATAAAGAAAAATTAATATTTTAGTCACTTTAAATAATTTCTTAAAACCCTTTTCGAACAATAATTCGTAAACAGTGCCTTAGATTGAATGTCATAAAATAAGCGGCATGACTTGCGCTATCGCTCTTCTACTCAAAATTGACAGCGCAATAATTAAGAAGAGTCAGTAATGAATGCTTAAAACTTAAAGAAAAGAAAACTGTAACTATAAGAACTACCGATTTGAAAGAGAGTTTCAATTTTTAAAAACCTAATGAATTACAATTCCAAAACAAAAATAAACATGGAAAAATAATATTTTTTAAAAAACGATATGAAATCAAAAACAAGCAATCAACCAGCCAATCAATCGATATGATTTGCACGAGCACAGTGCAAATAGTACATAAATCTATTTTCTTACAAACTATATTCATCATAAGCATACTCAACCCTAAACATTTCTACTATTCCACTATGAGGTACACACATACGTATTTATATACTAAAATTTAAAGAAAATAAATTAATCCTGAAAATATACACTAACATTCCTCATGCATCTAATTTGCTTTGAAAGAAAAATTTTGCTAACAAAACTAGACCTTCTACAATACAACAAAAAAACTATAAACACCAATACTTGAAAATGTATACTAAACTATAATTAGATTATGAAATAGTTTTAATATTTAAGCATTTAAGCACTTCCTGTGTATGTAAGCTTCCAGGCTAATTTTGTATGGAGAAATAAAAGAGAAGTACATAATTATGGCATTAATTGCTAGAAACACACTTTATCTATACCTAAGTGCATATACCAATTGAAATATATACATTGTATACATATTTATGAATCACTGTAACACCAATCAATTGCATTTATTGTAATGATTTGCTTAAAATATTTAAAAGCAACTTTAACA